TCCATCTCTCCTCCCCCACACGAAAACTCGAGCCATCCTCGATCCTCATCCGTGTTCGGCTAAACCAAAATCCCCACTGTGTCTTTCTGATTTGCTGTTTAATCCTTGAACATCACCAGAGCCCCCCACAGTCTATTCATCTGATCATTCTGTCAGATAACTACATATTCAGAATATCTTTGGGAATACATTACAAAAAAGATCATCGAATAGTTAAAGAGACAGAGAGGTTAATGAATGAAGGAGCAACAAAAGGTGTCTATAGATGAAAAAAGAATGAACGATAGATGGATATAAGCTCAATAATACAAACACATGAATGGAGAGATGGATCTGAATTCACACTGAGCCTTGTAAACCTGCCCTCCGTAAAAGGATTTGGACATGTATAGCTGGTAATGAACTAAATTAGATACATATCACAGGAAAATGTGGTTAGATAAATGGAATCAAGAGTTTAAGGGACTTTTATAGATAAACAAAAGAGTCTGAGGGACATTTATGGACATGAAATCAAATGAGACGTGCTTGAGAGCTTCCTTTGCTATATACATTATTTGTGTATGTCGTGTGACATCAGACGTCAGAAAATTGGTTGTACCATTTAAAGGACAAGGTTAAGTATAGGTCATATGAGCCTGGAGGCATGCAGGTATAACTTTAATGTAATGTATAATGAATGGAGCACACACAGTGCTAAATGCCGACGTGTAACAGAGAAAAGTTGCATCACCAGACTTGAGGAGAATCCACTGGCTTGTACAGTATGCATCGACCCCAAACCACTAACCTCAAAACTATCCCTTAATCCTGACCTATAACAAAACTCTGACCTCAAGCCATTTATCTAATCCCATGAACACATAACTGGGTCAGAAATGAGATTTGATATGCATTTATATTAGTCAGCGATAGGTCAGAAGGGGACATGGGAATGTCCTCTCTCAGTAAATGACTAATGTGCTTTACAGACTGTATTTAGAAATAAAACTGTGACACTCTTCCTTTCCTTTCATGGACAAAACAGTTCCTAAATATATTAAGTCCAGATGTCCTGTCTTGTCTTTATAAAAAAGTTTACTCTCATCATACAATAACTTCATTTTCTCCAAAGGTGAGAGATTGAGGGATGTCACTACAAACTGGCAAAATTCCCACATCTTCCATAAATTCACATCATACATTCAGAAGCAAAAAAATGAATGTGCTTGACACATGCTACCAGCTCAGTGTTACTTAATGATTCCAATAACACAACATATAAAACTTACAATGCAACACAAAAAATACATCTTCATAAAGTCAGAATTTTCACTGTATTCCAGCACTCTTAGTAGCATTTAATGTGCTGCAGATATCCTATCCACAGGAGAAATATGTGTGTGGGCATACCTTCATGTACTTACACTTGCATATGTATAAATATATACACGCTTTCCTGGTTGTGTCTATATTTCGTTCAGAGTGTATTTGAGTCTTACCGTCCACTGAGCAGGAATCCAGCGACTACTGCCAGCAGGACCAGAGCCAACGTGATGGCCACGACGACTATTGAAGCTTGAGCACGCTCACTGGTAGCTGTTACTGCAGGAAAAAAAAGGTGGGATAAGACACACATGGTACACACACAAAAACACACCTGGCATCTCTTTTTCTCGCAGCCGCCAAAACCAGGTGAAAGTCACATGCAAGTTGAACTTTATTATACTGCCATGTGTACTCACGGTAAGGGCTTGTCTGGAATTCAAAACGTCGGCTGAATGCGCCATAGCCCGCTGAGGTCCTGGCTCGCACCTGTAGTGCATCATATCCAAACATGTCACATCATATTTTCATATCTATGCATGTGTTAGACATGACTTTGATTCAACAACTTCTTTGTAATTGCTTATTCACATCTTTTTTTATCCCTTAGACTAAAGTGCTTTTTGCCATCCTTACATAGATGCACATATTTAATTTGTTTGTTCGACCTGGAAGATGTAGACTGAAGAGGGCTTCAGGCCTTCCACCACCATCTCAGTCTCCTTGGATTTAATAATAGTGTAACTCGAGTCCTGCTCCTGCAGTAAGAGAAAGGGAGGTGGGGTTAGTGTATTTCATTTGAATGCCTTACATACATTTTTGTAGCCTTAATGATCATTTGTTTATCTGTGTTGTCGCCTGCCCCCCCCCCCCC